GTGTACAATTCCTGCTGTGTCTGTGTACAATTCCTGCTGTGTCTGGGTATAATACCTGCTGTGTCTGTGTACACTACCTGCTGTGTCTGGGTATAATACCTGCTGTGTCTGTGTACAATACCTGCTGTGTCTGTGTACAATTCCTGCTGTGTCTGTGTACACTACCTGCTGTGTCTGTGTACAATTCCTGCTGTGTCTGTGTACACTACCTGCTGTGTCGGTGTACAATACCTGCTGTGTCTGTGTACAATTCCTGCTGTGTCTGGGTACAATTCCTGCTGTGTCTGTGTACACTACCTGATGTGTCTCTGTACAATACCTGCTGTGTCTGTGTACAATACCTGCTGTGTCTGTGTACACTACCTGCTGTATCTGTGTACAATTCCTGCTGTGTCTGTGTACACTACCTGCTGTGTCTGTGTACAATTCCTGCTGTGTCTGTGTACACTACCTGCTGTGTCTGGGTATAATACCTGCTGTGTCCGTGTACAATTCCTGCTGTGTCTGTGTACAATTCCTGCTGTGTCTGTGTACAATTCCTGCTGTGTCTGGGTATAATACCTGCTGTGTCTGTGTACACTACCTGCTGTGTCTGGGTATAATACCTGCTGTGTCTGTGTACAATACCTGCTGTGTCTGTGTACAATTCCTGCTGTGTCTGTGTACACTACCTGCTGTGTCTGTGTACAATTCCTGCTGTGTCTGTGTACACTACCTGCTGTGTCTGTGTACAATACCTGCTGTGTCTGTGTACAATTCCTACTGTGTCTGGGTACAATTCCTGCTGTGTCTGTGTACACTACCTGATGTGTCTGCGTACAATACCTGCTGTGTCTGTGTACAATACCTGCTGTGTCTGTGTACACTACCTGATGTGTCTGTGTACAATACCTGCTGTGTCTGTGTACAATACCTGCTGTGTCTGTGTACAATACATGCTGTGTCTGTGTACAATACCTGCTGTGTCTGAGTATTATTCCTGCTGTGTCTGTGTACACTACCTGCTGTGTCTGTGTACAATACCTGCTGTGTCTGTGTACACTACCTGCTGTGTCTGGGTATAATACCTGCTGTGTCTGTGTAAACTACCTGCTGTGTCTGTGTACAATACCTGCTGTGTATGTGTACAATTCCTGCTGTGTCGGTGTACACTACCTGCTGTGTCTGGGTATAATACCTGCAGAAACATATGATAACGAGTTCGAATCTCAGATTTTCCTGATTTTGTGTCTAGGTGTGTCGGCATTATATATGTGCTTGTGGGTTTCACCGAACTGGTAAACGTATTCGCTTTACTCCCGCATCAAGCTGACACGCCGTGATATATACTTGTCAGCGTCGCGACAAACCAACTATTTCAAGACCTAACGTATTCTGATCATCTTTGGGAGCTTTACCGTAGCTATAGGTCCATTTATAATCTTACCTTTGTATTACCCTCAAAGCACTCAAAGCGTAAATACGAGTATCAAATAGATGCATCATGAAACGTCCTGAGATGAAATGAATGAAGACGCTTCACCTGTGATGTTCATCCTAAAATCTGTATTTCAGTGTAGTGGTGTCATTTTTTTTCTTGCCATGTGTGAATTGCAGAAGGAAATATTTCCGCCTTTTCATCCTCTTAATACAGACACATAATTCCTACATTCCTCAGAGAACTCCACGTTTATGGCAAAATAAAGGTTTTAATATTGAATGACTAGTTACACAGTTATGACTTTGCAACTGCAGTTTCATAGTCTGTCTCACAGTCCCTGAACCATATTATTTTCCCTCCCAGCCCTTACTGTAATGCTGTAGCCATAAATGAAGCAAGGCTAGATTTTCCTCAGGTTCGGGATCTCACCTCACTGGGGCTCCTTTTAAATTTCAATGGCGATGTTTGTTTCTTTCAAAATTATACATTTGCAGAGACTTTGCGTTAGTGTAGGAGTTTCATGTCATCCCCGAAGTCATGTGTTAGTCACTCAATCACCACTATTTCCCCAACAGATGGCTAAAGTTTGAATTAGTATTATGATATTATTCAGTTCTGAGGCGTGTTGAGTTTCCTCAGTGACGAATTCGAGGACGTTAACGACACTACTGTAAATGGCAATACTCATACAGTGTGTATCACAGGAAATGATACGATGTGTTTGTAAAACCACGGGGAAAACAATCTTTAATCCCCGAGAACAAGATAAGATAAGTTGTGTACCAACCCTGTTCTTAGGCTTTGTTAGTTCACTCCTGCATATAATTATTTTTTGGGGGAGAAAACCATGTACCGTTTGTGTCAGATATTGTTTGAAAAATAAAACAAAATATATAGATATAATGTGAGAGGTGGGAAATTTAGCTACGAATACAGAAGACTCACAGTAAACAATAACAAACTCCTCGAAATGAACGGGTAGATAGAGAGAGGGGTAATTTAATAATCATGGCAACAACTGTCTCTTAAACATTTTAAAAAGCGTTGCGGTAAGCAATTTTTTTTAAACGTTTTAATTCAAATGTCCATTATTGTTTAGTAGTAGTAGTAGTAGTAGTAGTAGTAGTAGTAGTAGTAGTAGTAGTAAACATTTTATAAAGCGTTGCGGTAAGCAATTTTTTTGTAAAACGTTTGAATTCAAATGTCCATTGTTGTTTAGTAGTGGTAGTAGTAGTAGTAGTAGTAGTAGTAGTAGTAGTAGTAGTAGTAGTAGATCGCGGAGAAATCATGAGCTCAAGTAGGCCCTGTCCTACTTCTTTCATTTCCATCTCATGAAATTATCACACACTATCTATACACCAACTATCTTCATAACTCACCAGCAGTGCAAAACAGGTTTCTTTCAAAACAGATAAAATCGGATACATAACCGCTGTTTCACAAACATTCTGAGGGTGTATTGAAATGAGAACTTCTTGAGCCTAAAAGGGACAGAAATAACCTAATGTAATATAATGTCACTACATTTTCATGTCACGCTTAATGGGAGCGTCATCGTTGACAATTATGATGAGTTGCCTTGCCACCATTTTAAAAGCAACACAAAAAAGACACAACATGCTATTCAAAGTCCACAATTCCTGTTCATGGAGCGAATGAATTACCATAACAAACACCGGGCAATCAACGTGGGCTCACATCCAACAACGCTCGTTTGTCACAAAAATCATGGCTACAAACGCAAGTTCAGGATTCGAAATTTTGAAACACATCTGTTGCCTTTTGCTATTCCCGCTCTGTCGTGGCCAAGTTTGGTTAATTTCCTCTTCATAGTCATCTGGGAGTGTACATTACAGCCGACATTAGTGAATATCTAAATCCCTTTCTAAACCTCTTTCCTAGATAAAAACGGGTTATGAACAAAATGTGCAACTTTATCCATAACAACTTGTGGTTTATTCATGTAGCGATGTTTCTGTGTAGAATGAAACACCATTCCAGCTTCATAACAGTGTAAGAATCTACATGGAGACGTCGCTAAATGCAGAAAACCAGAAGTTATCCACTAAGTTGTTGTTTTTTTATTTACTCAACAACTTCTAGAAAACAATCAATCATTCAAATAAATCTCATTTTGTACATTGTATAGCCTCGGACACTGAGGAAAGTCAGATTGAAACAATTGGTTCTTCCCTCCTGTCTACTGTTAATTGAGTCTGAACAAGACAATCCAGTGACTGACGTCATGAGCATCGATCCACGCAATTGGGATACGATGACATGCACCAACCAAGTCAGCCACCCTGACCACCCGATCCCATTAGTCGCCTCTTTCGACCGGGATCTTCATGGTGTGATTAGTGAGTGAGCTGGATAGATCAACACTATCAGCAATATTTAAGCAATATGATTTTGGGGGACATTAGACAGGAGCTTCATACATTGTACCTATCTGGGGAACTACGCCTGGGGTTTCAGACAAGAACAGAAGTCATTTCAAGTCAAACCAAATGTGTGTGAATGAGCATATGTAACCCTGTGTCATTTCCAGCATTGGAGTTGGTGAGATTTATACAACATTTAGCATTATTTCATTCTTATGTGGGCAGGGTACACCAGAATGGATTTCACATATTGTATCTATGTTGAGAAGTGGCCCATGCCCTCACTAGCCCTATCCTCCTCCTAAACTTTACTGGAGCCTACATAAACAAGGAACACCTCCTTTCTTAAAACATCACCCAGAGGTGAAAACATTTAATCTGTCATTGACTTGAAATAGCCAAAAGAGGCCTTGGATGTCACTACTTGTTTTGCTGTTGATATTGGTCTAAATGAGAGGAAACTTAAGTGGAATTGGGTTTTTTTTACTACTTTCGTGATAGATTTACTACAAAGGATGTGATTGTCACACTAGAAACCTGACTGAAAATTGATAGGATAACCAAGTACAGTGTAATTCACAATCTGAAACTTTTCTTTCAGGACAACCATACAAAGGAGCTTTGGTGTTGAGTGAGTGAATATATTTTTTCACTGCAAAAATCTAGCTATAAGTGCATCTTGTATACATCAAGTCTGTGCCAGGGCAAACCAGTTGAAAGCATGAACAATAACCAAGGGGCATGGACGAAACACAATCAACCAAGTCACTCATTATAGTTTGTCTGTTGTTTCATGCTATATGTTCCAGCACTATGACTGTGGCCTGTGAAAAATCTAGTTTGGACAAACCAGTGACTGATATTATGAGCAACGCCTCTAGTCCCATAAGTAACGCAAACAATGTATACTGCAGTCAGCACAAAAGCAGCATGTTCACGGGGCTAAATAAAGCTGTGGTTGATTTGTGTGTAAGCAATGAAGCCTTGCAGGTATAGAGGGTGAGGAAGTAACAAACTTACATGATACACACTCAACCAGGTCCCATATATTGTGTCCAGCCAATCATCCCAATGACAAGCACAGTATACTGGGGACATATCATATACCCCAGAATACCACATGGATGTTACATGTTGATGATCCTTAACTGAATGAATTGTATCACACCAACATTGATCAAGAAAAACCATTCATGATATTTTCATACACAGTTTATTCTGAAATCACAAAAGTTCACAAAATGTGACAATTCACATTACAACAACTTCAGTATGTGATATGAAGCACTCAAACAAATACATATACATTTACATCATCATAATAATTTAATTTTCTCTTAAATCATAACTTCAAGCAATATATTTCAATTTGCAAAATATGCAATAGTATTAGGTGTTACCAGGGATCAAGAGAGGTAATTTTAACTGTGGAATCAACATCAATAAGGCATTAGGAAATCAGAAACTTGACTGTGCAGTGACTGCTGCTTAACTGTTGGCTCATGTATAAAATATTTTAGTGATGTTTGAGTAGCACTGTACATTAAACAAACATTGCACCACGTTTGATCAGCACAATACATAACATACAATATATAATGTTAATGTACACAAACAGAGAATTCTGTACCTCAAGTCAAATATCAAAACATATTTGTGACATTTATGATAAACTAAACATTCATACAAATAATTCATTTACCTTCAATGGTCATATCTAATTTTTTAGTCCGGTACATGAAAGATACAATATAATTTTGAGTACAACCACACATTATTTATGTTTTCAATTTAGTTCTTTAACTTAACTTGAGAAAAATACATCAGATCAGTTGCATCGTGGGTGTTTGTTTGCAGTTCATCACAAACATGCCAACAACAATTTCCAAACATGTGTAAACATAACATAAAAGATTGTAAAACAATGATACAATTCTTCATTGGGGAAAGAATCAGATGAAAGGTTCCACTAGAATAAATCTAGTTAGCATACGTGTGTGTGTCTTATATCCAAACATAAAGGTGCCACCACAAAAACATTCAACAAACTATTATGACATAAGTATATTCATATTTACAACTGGTCTTGTCTTATATCAGCCAAATCCTTTCCCTATCATGTGAACCTGTCAGTCAGACATTTGTCTCAGAATCATGTCATCAAACATGACAGGTGCTTCTTTAACCATTCATGGTTATCTTCCATGACACACTCTTCCTCTTCCAAAAGTCTTTAGTTGGAAAATGATATATAAGGTGTCATATAACTGGTGTAAATAGCAAAAAGATAAATATACAGCAGATGGTCATCCCATTCTAATAAAGAAAATCAAAAACATGAAAAATGAAGAAAGAATATACTGTTGTATCAAAGCCAAGAGGAAATCAAAACTTGTTACAGATGCATGGTTCTGACAACATCCAATCTTTTGTTACCATGGGTACAAATAAACGCTGGTTGAGATCCTAGATACCCTTCTACAGACATCTTGTCATCAAAGGTGGGAGGCCAGGTTAAATACAAATGAAGTCATATTTGATTATAAATACCTCTTCAGTTGTAACAGGAACAATTGCAATGCAAGCACCTGCTGAACACTTAGCATTTAACACGGTTAGATACAAGTCATAACAGTTCACAGCATGGCATACATACTGACACTGACAGAAGCAATGTGGCCATCAAGCTATCTTCTGATGCTCACTTAAACTATTTGGGTATTGTCCAGGCCTACATTAACTATTTGACAAAAATAAACTGACAAAGGAAAGGAAATTATTTACTGTGAGTATCAGTATTTTGTCAAAATAATAAATATCAAGTTTTTCTGACATTGCTGATCAATAAAAATTATCCTAAACTATCAACAGTTGAAAAACCTTGTAACCAAATAAAATAGTCATTCTCAATTAGCAACAGTAATGAGAATGTGATAGATATTACGACTGCTGACCTAAATACATAAGGACTTGGATATGACTACAAGGATGGCCCTGTGCGAGTTGTTCAACTGAAGTCTCTATTGGGGAGGACACAGGGGGCGACGAGGGTCCAAACATAGATGAGGATGCAAACCCAGCTGGAGGCAATCTTCACCCACACAGAGGCCATGTTAGCATTCAGAGTCTTAAAGTCAGAGCTGGGCCTGGAAAACAATAAGGAATCATAAGAAAAATTCATAAGCTATGCATCTTATACTCTTAACTGTGTGAATAATTTCATATCAGCAAACAATGTTCATAGTTAAATGACAGTGCCAACATTTAAGAAATATTTAGTTGGGAGCGTTTTACACCAGTAAAGACAGGGGAGGGAAGTGCCTATTGTACATGACATTCTGGGTGTATTGGTGATGGCACCCAAAGTTTAGTACTCATTTTATCACCACTACTTTCATGGATGTCTATTTTAGCAGGCTTAAAACATATATATGAAGATTTAACATTCTGGATAATCGAGGATGAGCATGCACAAACTGTATCAAGATAAAGTGACTTACTCGAACCAGTTGGTGAGGGTCATCATCACATAGAGTGCACCGAGGCACATCATCAGGTGGAAGAAGGAGTAGCTGTATGCCACACTGTCTTCCTCATTGTCCCAATTCTTAGAGCCCTTCTCCTCATCAGCATTCGAGTCAGTCGAACCTAGTACAACAGAGCACAGTTTAGCACAGACCAGTCAATCAAACCTGAACAATAAAGCAAGGTATAACACAGTCAAGTTAGTCAAACCTGAACAATAAAGCAAGGTATAACACAGCCAAGTTAGTCAAACCTGAACAATAAAGCTATGTATAACACAGCCAAGTTAGTCACACCTGAACAATAAAGCAATGTATAACACAGCCGAGTTAGTCAAACCTGAACAATAAACCAATGTATAACATCGTCCATTTAGTCAAACCTGAACAATAAAGCAATGTATAACACATCCCAGTAAGTCAAACCTGAACAATAAAGCAATGTATATCACATCCCAGTTAGTCAAACCTGAACAATAAACCAATGTATAACACAGCCGAGTTAGTCAAACCTGAACAATAAGTTAATAACGCAATTTATAACACAGCCAAGTTAGTCAAACCTGAACAATAAGTTAATAACGCAATTTATAACACAGCCATGTTAGTCAAACCTGAACAATAAGTTAATAACGTAATTTATAACACAGCCAAGTTAGTCAAACCTGAACAATAAACCAATGTATAACACAGCCAAGTTAGTCAAACCTGAACAATAAGTTAATAACGCAATTTATAACACAGCCAAGTTAGTCAAACCTGAACAATAAAGCAATGTATAACACAGCCAATTTAGTCAAACCTGAACAATAAACCAATGTATAACACAGCCAAGTTAGTCAAACATGTATTTTTTAGAGCAAAAATATCATTTATACTTATCCTAACTTATACAGGTTTGACTAACTTGGCTGTGTTATAAATTGAGTTATTAACTTATTGTTCAGATTTTATCTTATCCTACTCATACTTATTGCTTATCTCTCTCTCTTCCGAATAGGTAGTGGAAACGTCCTGTGCTGTTCCCAAAGAACAGAGAAAACAGCTCACCCAAACGCACCCTCACTCTGCGCATGCGCACCGGAACCATGTGACCAAGCCCAGTAACTCATCACTCTCTCTTATTTCCTACTTAATGGTCGTAACACATCAGTTGAAAGAGGGGAAGGCCGGGAGGGTACTCATTTGTATGAGTCAGGATAAGTATAAATGATATCTTTACTCTAAAAAATACATATTTTATCTTATCCTGACTCATACTTATTGCTTGAATCTCACAGTAGGTGGTGGGTTCCACCTGTATGTGTGATTAACGTCGATCTGTTCTATAATCCCCATAGGAATGTTGTTAATCTTCTGTGTAAATTCTTTATTTTGGGACCACCTTCCTTTTTTGTGAGCAGCAAAATGGAAGTAAATCATATAGATTTGTGGATTTATAAGGTTTCTAAGATAAAAATCTTGTTCACCTTAAATGATTAAAGTGTTAAGAGAAGAGCAATAATCTTAACACAATCATTTCTCACTCATGTGCTGAATTACATAGTAAAACAGGGGGCATGGACTCTCAGTCGTTGGTTATGGAACAGTAACCTGACGTCAACAAGTCTACGTGATATTGGGTGAGTGTGATCTTCTAATGTCGTCTGGTAGGATTCGTGAGTAGTTGTGCCACAACTAATGGTCCGAATTGGTGAATACCAGCTAAGTCTTCTGTAGCAAGGTCTCTGAGGTAGTGATTGGCGAAAACTGTATCTGATTTCCAGAAACAGCCTTCCATAATAGTTGTTATGGAGCAGTTGCCGTGAAGCGCCAAAGTTGAGGCTAAGGCTCTTACTTCGTGAGGGTTGGAGGCTGAAGGGGGGTCCAATCCCACTGCTCTGTATGCTCTGAGAATAACAGCTCTCATCTAAAATGAGATAGTTGTTCTGGATACCTCTGTGTGTGTATTCCTTAATAAAGGAATAAATAGTCTCTTAAAACCTTGTCTTCTAGGTTTAGACTTTTGTAGGTATAATCTTAAGGCTCTGACTGGGCATAGTGATAAATCCTCTGTATCCTCTGCACCAAGGACGGAGGAAAGAGCCGGAACATGGAATTGTCTGTCTGGTTGGCCTGGTAACTGGTTCTTTGCAATAAAGTCCCATCTTAAGCCAAGGTGCGCTGATGAGTTGTTACCACTGTCAAATGTGATGCAATTGAAGTCTATCGCGTGGATTTCAGACATTCTGGCTGCCGTAGCTAATGCCAGAATAAATAGGGTTTTCTGCGTCAGGTGTTCAAAGTCTGCCTGTTGGAGCGGTTCGTATGCGTCACTGGTTAGGTGTTGTAGCACTATATTTAGGTCCCATGCTGGGGCTCTAAATCTTTTCTGTTGGTTCTTAAGTCTGAAGGATCTGAGTAGGGCTATCAGCTCGGGAACTTTAGTAAGTTTTATCCCGTTAGCCATTGTCAGTACAGAACTGATAGCGGCCAAATAAGTGCCCAGTGTCGAACTTTTAAGATTCCATGTACTTCGTAAGTGACATAGGTAATCTGCTACTTGTGGTATAGTAGCTTTGGCTGCAGAAAAACCCTTGGATGTTGCAAACTGGTCAAAACTTTTCCATTTATCGTCATAGAGATTCCTCGTTGATCTACGAAGTGCTAAGGAGACTGCCTTAGCTGCTCTCATGGAATATCCTCTTTTAACGAGACTGCTCTTGATATGCTCCATACGTGAAGTTCGTATAGATCTGGTCTTGGATGGACCTGATTGGAGTGAGGATGTAGCAGTAGATTTGGCCAGTTTAGTAGTTTTAATATTGGATTTCCTGGAGATTGGAGACCTGGAAACCACGTTCTCGCCAGCCAGTAAGGCGCTACCAAAAGCAGTTGTAGGCTGCTCGTGTGTAGGATCTTTTGTAATATCTGTGGTATCACGGCTGGTGGAGGAAACGCATACGCATTTAGTCCCTCCCATGATATTGACAGAGCATCGACTGACCAAGCTAGTGTGTCTGGCACTGGTGATACAAATGTTGTTATCTGATTGTTGAATCTGGTTGCGAATAGGTCTATCTAATGGGCAACCTTTTTCTTTTATAGCCAGTTGGAATGCTTCTGGGTGTAGCTTCCATTGTCGGTGATGGTTTGGCTGATCTGGTGAAGGCGTCTGCTAAGACATTTGCCACTGCTGGTATATGTCTTGTCTTTATTGTTAAGTTCAGATTGTCTACTAGCTCGTAAAGTTGAAATGTCAACTTCAGGAGGGTCAAGGTTTATATTGTATGCCACAGTTGAATGTTCTGATCATCAGACGTTGGTTTCTTAACTGTGGGGCCCAGTGAAATAATGCACGGATTACTGCCTCACATTCCAGATAATTGATGTGGTAGAGCTTTTCTGCTTCTAACCATAGGCCTGCTGTTACTTCTCTGTTGAAGTGAGCTCCCCAGCCTTGAAGTGAGGCGTCCACGAATAGGTGGTTGTTGTAATCCGGCTCGTTTAAACAAGTTTCTGCGCAAACGTTCGATTTCACTGTCCACCATAAGAGGTGTTTCCTCAATGTTTGTGGTAGTTGCAGTTTTAAATCCTGGTACTCTAGGTATGGATTTAGAAATCTCTGAATAGGGCGTAAGTGTAGTCTGCCTCGGACCGTCCACGCTTGGGCTGACGTGAGTCAGCCTAGTATCACTTGCCATTCGTTGACTGAGATTTTCTTGTAAATTGCCGTTGGCAAACAAGTCTTGATTTTTATCCACCGATCTTCTGATACCATTATCAGATTCTGATTGGTTAGAAATCTGATTCCCAGAAATTTGAGGTCCTGAGATGGTTGTATATCAGACTTCTGAAAATTTATTAACCAACCCAGTTGTGTTAATAATTTCTGGGTAAAATTTACTTGTAGTCTGAGTAGCTCTGTTGATTGATGGGCTTATATCCCATCATCTAGGTAAAAAGCACAACAAATTCCCTTGTTGTGAAAAAATGTCACAATTGGTTTGGTCACTCGTGTAATTAGCCACGGGGCCGTGGAAATTCCAAAGGGCAGGACCGCCCACTGGTAATGTTGTCCTTCAAAGAGGAAACATAAATATTTCCTGAAAGTCCGTTTTATGGGAATGTGTAGGTAAGCATCCTGTAAATTGATGCTTCCGAGATAGTCGTGCTATCATTTGTTGAATCATTCTGAAATCCTCCGGTTTTGGGAGGTATTTCTTGTTGAATTTTTCTCATGTTGTAAATCAAACGAAACTTTCCGTTTGAATTCTTTTTGAGAACCAAAAAGATTGGCGAATAGAAACCCGGAGTTAGTAATTCTGGATGAATTATCTCGACTGCGCCCTTGTTGAGGCGTGAATTGATTGCTTCAGTTAACTTCGGCAACAATTCTTTCCAATAAGGTATTTCCGGTGGCTTGCGAGATAACGGGGATTTCTTGAGTAAAGTCGGCGCGTAGCCCTTTCTTAGAAAGTTGGAAACAAATTCGTCTCCTAGAATGTCCCAATTCATCCAATATCTTGCCAATCTTCCGCCTACTGGGGAATGCTGTACATGAACGGCTGGTGGGGGGAGTTCCCTGTCGTTCAAAAGCCCATCTTCGCCGGTAATATTGCGAGATCACCTCGATCTGCGGCCGCGGCCACGGTCGGCATCACTTGACAGGTCACGTGACGTGTCATGTGACTTGCGAAAAGCAGATGATTTCCCGCCCCTGTAGTTGTACGAGCGTTTCTCTTTAGCTTTTTGAATGCCCGTCATACGGCTTCTGAATTGGGGTTTCTGCATGGATTGACGATACATAGAATTCATAGTCTGAACTGACTTGATCAGCATATGATCTTTGGAGTCTTAAAGCACTTCTTTGTTGATTTTGCGTATGTTACCATTAAAAATGGTTGGAGCCTCCCAGGGTTGTCTTAATAATTCTTTGGTATAGGTATACCAATTAGAATTATTTATAAGACCTTGTTGCTGTAGTAGTGTTAAACCTGCCGACACTGAACTCATATGATCAGAAATAATTTCTTGATTTTTCTTTTGATTGACGAGAGCTGAAAGTAGCATTCTTTCGCGGTCATTCTGAGGCTCATAGCGCGTGACATCGCTTGTCCAAAGAATGCATGTCTTGTAGTCGTATCAAGTTGTGCAATTTTCTTATCCTCAATGCGATAAGATTTTTTACTTTTGGAGTCTGACATGAGTGAGTAATCTTCATCAATCTCCGGTGAGCGAAGAAATTGCGACATGGCGTGCATGGGGAATTTCTTAGAATTAAAGCTTGGTATTTGAAGTCCTTGTGATTTCGTGGCTTTCGCAAAAGAAACATTAAGATTCTCTGCAATGCTGGAGATTGGTTTTATCGGTGGGATGGTTAGTGTGTCTATATCGTCCCCTTTGATACAGTATGTATCAGTGGGAGAAGAATTTCTTGACGGTGATGATATCGGCAGTCTATCTGTAATCCACGCCATTAATTCATGATCCTCATAAATTGAAGGGTAATTTTCCCCCGATGTGTCCTCATTTTGAGGGGGCTCGAACATATCCTCCACTTGCAGAAGATAGGAGGCGTTAGGATTCGGAGCCGTAAATGAAGGCTGCGACATCTGCGAGCTATTGTGTGAAGAGGTAGTCGACTGCGTGCCAGGTTGTTTTCACATTTGTTGTTGCATAGCCATTACGACTTGTTGTGTGATATTTGCTATCACATCTGTATTATAGCAGGCGTTAGCAAAGTACCTTGCGTAAAAAAGGTAGGCTTCGTGAAGGTAGTTGGCAGTGTCAACGTTGAAGGCTGCACGAAGGCGGGAGCCTGCGTGAACGCTGGTGTCTGTGTATACTCTTGTTGATTAATAGCCTGACGCCTGCGTGAAGGTAGACGATTGCGTAATTGTTGTGTTGGGCTGCGGGAACGCTGGCGAATGTGTATACTCTTGTTGATTAATAGCCTGACGCCTGCGCGAAGGTAGACGATTGCGTAATTGTTATGTTGGGCTGCCCGAAGGCCGGTATCTGCGCGAAGGTCTGAGGCTGATTGAGGTATATATCGGTTGTATTTGTAGTCGAATTGGATGACACTGCGGGCTGCGCGAACCTCTCGGGTTGTGCGGACGTAATTGTCTGCGCGCAGGCTTTCTTCTGGCTAGAAGAAACAGCTGATTTTCTTGAAACCCCCTTCATGACTGCGGTTGTTGTAGATTGATAGCCTTACTGAAGTGTTCATTAGGTTTATTCTTAGACCCTCTAGACTTCTTACTGGTAGACGAGGAAGTAAGATGGGGGGGGGGGGGGGCTGGTGTGTGACTGCATCATATTCAGCGGGATAATTTGAATAATATCAAATCGAATTCCTCTGACGAAGGGCAGGGAGTATTCTCGCCTCTTCTTACTTTTAGCTGTCTCCGTGGATGATAACGAGCGTGATGACTCTCGTCGTTTCCGATCCATCTTTTTCCTCAGCGCTGCAAAAAAATAATTACTAAATTCTTCCTTCCCCAAAGGGCCGCAGAATTTGCATCTATTCTCTGCAGTGCAGTTCTGTACTGTGCAGCTGGTACAGGTTGGATGAAGGTCCGGATCTGAAAAACGTAATTTACATCGGTTACATGTTTTCATGATCTCCGATAGGGGCTGCATTTGAGTCCAAATTACGAAAAATTCTAATGCCAATATATAAAATAATCGTTAGATATGATGTATAGAATATCACAGAAGATAATCCAAGCAAAAGATTTTGTTAAAAAGGGTGAATTTTTATGGAAAGCTTGGATTATGATGCACAGAAAAAAAATTCCAGCTGCCAAGATGGCGCGAAAAAGAGAGAATGATGAGTTACTGGGCTTGGTCGCATGGTTCCGGTGCGCATGCGCAGAGTGAGGGTGCGTTTGGGTGAGCTGTTTTCTCTGTTCTTTGGGAACAGCACAGGACGTTTCCACTACCTATTCGGAAGAGAGAGAGATAAGCAATAAGTATGAGTCAGGATAAGATAAAATCTGAACAATAAGTTAATAACGCAATTTATAACACAGCCAAGTTAGTCAAACCTGAACAATAAACCAATGTATAACACAGCCAAGTTAGTCAAACCTGAACAATAAGTTAATAACGCAATTTATAACACAGCCAAGTTAGTCAAACCTGAACAATAAAGCAATGTATAACACATCCCAGTTAGTCAAACCTGGCACAGAAAGGCAATGTTTAACGCAGTCAAGTCAGTCGAACCTAGTACAGATTGTACTTCCAGCTTTAGTATTTTTAACTGTAGAATCAACTTTTCAACACAGTTCAAGGGCAGTAACTCAGTCCAAAAAGAAATTGTTGATATAGTTATAGGTCTAGCTCATTAAAACATGGACATGCCCTCATCAACAGGATTCCACTGTATTAAGAGTAAGTCAGCAATTTACCATTGTCTGATTGCAGAATGGTCTTCTCCGACATGGTCAGCTTCCCCACCTGGCTGTTGGAGGAGGTCCTTACACTACAAGAACAACAGGCATCAATAAGTTCTTAGTTGATACACACACTTTAAAAGAATGAGAAAATGTTGTTTTATGTCAAAGTCAGCAACATAATGGCCATGTCCTGGCAGCCTGAAAATAATTAATCTGACTGCGGCTGTTGGAGGAGGCCCTTACACTACAAGCAGGAGGACAGGCATCAATAAGTTGAATAAGCAATATAATGGCCATATCCTGGCACCCTGTAAACAAATCAACTATGAAACATACAAACCAGTGGTTGATAATAAGTCCCATATCATCGGGGCATGATGACAAAATCAACCAAAACACCGAGCCTAACCATGCTAACTACATGATTCATTTCAGTCGCCTCTTACAACAAGCATAGGTTACTGGGGACTCTATCTGACCCAGAATCCTCACTGGATACACGCATACTTCATGTGATATGGTCGAGCCACTATCAGCACTGATAGTAAGACACAAGGCAAGAATATTATTCATAAAATGTAACAATTTGTAAAGTTACCTGGCGTAGAGAACTGCAAAAACCCAGATAACAAGAGCCAAGATACCCTGCCAATCAAACACTCCCTTGTCGAAGGTTCCATTGTTGGGATTATTGATGTTCATAGTGCTGTTGTAGTGGATCAGGGAGCTCAAACTGGGGTTACACTTCTTCTCTACACAGATAAAACACACATCTCATCATCATCTTTTTCTATTAACATGATTTAAGTAATCTTTGAAATAAATTGCCTCCACATGTGACAAAGTCTTTTAGCCACCTGGGTATTTAAACATTCTGTATCATTTTATGCATTGAATCTTGAATGTTTGAATGTGCCTGATCAAATATGGGTTTCAAATTAATCAATAACATGCCTCTGGTTCAAGCACCTGCAGTACTGTTAGGGATCTAATTCAAACACATAGAGTGGTTAGGTAATTGTGTCTATGCAGTGTCTACCTGGGCTGTTGGTCATGGCAGACCAGGTGAGGTACATTGTGTACAGGGAGATGACGGATGACTGCAGGAGGCCGGAACGTGGCTGGTCTGTAACACAAGTGATTGATACTGTATATCATGGTATATATCAAAACAAAAAGTACACGGAAAACAATTTTTCCTACCATATCTGAGAGTGGTTCACACAGAGTGCATTTGGTTAACCACATTAAGCAGGGTTTTTCCCACTTACAAGCTCTTCATGTAGTATAACATACATGACCAACCCTCCTCAGTCACCATCTGACACAGGTACAGTTTGCAAGGGTTTGGGATGTATTGATGCCTCGTTAATTATCTCCATCAGTCCATGAATAAAAAGTCAAATAGGTGTCGTAACACAACATATTTAATAAAGTATGACTGTGTCAACTAGCATAACTCCTGACCATGATGACCAAAGGCTACAGCTTATTTCATTTCACTAGTCATGTTTTCCTATCATAACCCTTTCAATATAAATGCTACAGAAATACGTGCAAATCCAGGCATAACAATCAAAAAGAAATTTATACAATAGTAAAGTATGTTTTCAACAGACTGTTTGTATGCACCTGACAGAATATTCACCTATGGTACATCATCGTCCATAACACAAGTTTTTTGTACATATAAATGAGAGGGGTATGAAAAGGGATGGTCCTATTCCAATGGCAATGTCAACCCCTGTTTGAAAGCCAACAAAGCACTGATTTTGTTTGACAGAAAACTTTGCATATCATCCAAAATAACTATTATCTCATTTCCTTATTCATACTACCCCTGGTATATATTTTCTGCAAATTAAGTTCAAATGAGCCTCGCCTATATCTACATTGCCAAAGAAGGTGTCACGGTGACAAAATCAATTTCCGTCAGCATAAAGGCAGTAAGCATATGCAGGATCATCTATGATAAGCTGGAACACCTTTAGCATAAATTATTTTAATATATATTTCATGTTAATCATCACAATATAATTGACTTAAATGACTCACTATATGATTGAATTTAAATAAACTGCCAAGTAGACAAATATGTACATGATGTAACCAGAAAGGAATTTATCCTTTAACATGAGATGTCCCTGATCTCTTGCTACATGCCATCTAACAAGTGATATCCAACTAGTGGAGCTGAAATCAATTCCTTTTTTATTTACAGCTATCAGCAAGAATCGGAGTAAGTTTGCAACGGAAGTGAATATACAGTAATTCATTTTTGAGTGAGTGAGTGAGTGAGTGAGTTGGGTTTAACGCCGCTTTTAACAGTATTCCAGTTACATCACGGCGTGTCAGTTTAATGTGGGAGGAAAGCCCGAAGTGAAGCAGGTCTCAGATGTTTACCACTTCGGTGAAACCCACGAGCACGGGTATGGTGCTGACAAACCTAGAAACATAATTGGGGAGAACCGGGATTCGAACCCAAAATCATAGGTTTCTGGCGTGCCCAAGGGACGCAACTATGCACAGCGAATCGCGGCGCCTTAGACGACTTGGCCACCCGTGCCCCCAATTCATTTTTGAGAAGTGTTATTGTGGGGGTATGCAGGAATATAGGACTCGTAACTTAAAACATGTTCTTATTTTATTACTTCATCAATAAAATTTCTTTCACGGGCACCAAATCTCGCACCATGTCAACACAGAATAGGACCATGTGCTGGAGTTATTCATGGGCTAAAGCATCATAGAAAAAATGTCAGCAGGCAAACATGTTTTTATTGCAAATGTAGGGACTGTGTATTATATGCTCTTGTTTCAGTCCAAATCTATAGTCAGGTTATATTATTAGCATCAATTTGGAGGGTTTCTACAGGGGCGTTATACGGAACTTTGTAATTTAATCAACACGATAAACTGTTACAATGCTTGGTCCATATAAACTTTCCTTCAATATTTATCCAATTGTGACCCTGATGACCTTTGCTTTTAACTGTTTTCTCATTACCTACCAGTATTCATGAACTGGAAAAGCAATGGTCGGAATAACACCACATCAATGTGTAAGCGTTAAATGTCTTCCACTTGTTAACACGTGGTGGAGCAAAGGGTATGTTCTTAATCATATGAAACATGACCTGCCTCAAACAGTATGAGACTAAGACTGTTATCCTTGCCCTAGTAATGAGGGTCACATCAGACATCACTATTTGACTGTGGCACAGAAGTGATGTGTAGGTTACTTACAGTCCTGGATTTTGGGCAGCACAGCAAGGATGCTGATGAACACACACAGGATCAAGTTGAAGGACAGGAAGAACTTGTGTAACTTGCAAGACTCATCCTACAATGTCAACAGAAAGGACTCATCTTACATAGTTGATTACACTTTCTTATCATGCGAATAATTTTGTTTGTTGTTTGACACTGCACTCAGCAATATTCCACCCAACTTCTTAAAGTGGCATTTAGAAGTTGGAGTGATGAAAAAGGGAGAATTCTATGGACATACAACTTCTTTATTACAATGAATGCAACATTTCGGTGTAGATACTAACACTGTTATCATCCGTGCTTGATAACGGTGTCAGTATCTACACCGAAATGTCAAATTAATTGTAATAAAGAAGTTGTATATCCATAGAACTCTCCCATGTTCACTAATCCACCTGTATGGCGTTAGTCTGTAAATATTCAAGTCTGGACCAGACAGTCCAGTGATTGACATCACAAGCATTGATCTATGCAACTGGGATACCATAACATGCATCAACCAAGTCAGCAACCTGACCACCCGATCCTGTCAGTCGCCTCTTGCAAGGATGGGTTGTTGAAGACCAATTCTAATCCAGATCTTCAGCGAGTATCATGGTGATAAAGAACACAATGTTACATGGTGTGGGGGGAGGATTTATGCCGACTTGGTTTACATTGTTTATGTTTGTTTGCCGAACTTGGCAATATTTTAACTATATGACTACATTGTATTTATATCTATAAACATTCGAGTCTGGACCAGACAATCCAGTGATTGATATCACACTATTGGGATACGATGACATGCGTCAACCAAGTCAGCGACCACCCAATCCCGTTAGTTGCCACTTACGACAAGCTTAATCACCTTTTATGACAAGCATGGGTTTCTGAAGACCTATTCTAACCCGGATCTTCAGGGGTACATTGTTTATGGCAAGCATTCTAACCACAAGTCTACTCAACCCCAATTAACCTCCATTTCCAGTTTTTGGACGAACTTCTCATCATTATTCAGGAGTATTCTGTATTTATCATTTCATAGTTCATAAAAAGACATCGCCGGTATACTGTTACCGGTTACAAACACAAAGATATGTATCATGTATAAGAACATGCTAAGACACAGAATCAATACACTATCATAGTGAGTCGCATAAGGAATATTGAAGTTAAGGTGCAATCTGTGGATGCTGTAGGGTGCATGAGACTTACACTGGCATAGAATATGAAGAAAACTGCCACCAAGGCTATGGCAATACAGTAGAAAAACCCGGTGAAGAACAGCAGACCTGGAACACAAAGTATTTGCATTTACTCTCAGTTAGTTATGTCAGTCAGGATGGTTACGCAATGACTTCAAATAGGCGTTGTTTTCTAGTGGTGTAACGATACATCGAACTATCGATTGATTGCGATTGCTTGTCTCACGATAGTACACTATCGATTGCAACTTGAAACAATCGATGCTATTGGCGATAGTTTGTCTAATTATCGATAGTTTCGATAGTTAATTTGTTTGGTACATTTACTTTCTTAAAAAACATAGAAACAACTCCTATGATCATCTAACCTCTGTCGTGCTTATGTTTGGATTGCACTACTTTGTCTGCTTGATTTAGAGTTACGTCCCTTAGCTACTTGTCGCTAGGCAACATTGACAAGATGGCGGACGCCACATGACAGTTTGAAATTGTCGCCAATAAGGCAGGCAAATCGTGGGTATGGGACCATTTCGGCTTTGTCAAAACGCAAAACGAGACAGACAAGCAAAAGTAAGTTTTAGAATCTGTTGGATAATTCTAAAGTATTCAGGAAATACTACTAATCTGACCGACCACTTGACAAGATGGCACCCAGATATTCGTGCACGTGAAAAAGGGGGATCAAATATTAGTCATTCAATCACATTCATTCACATTGGTGCTAAAACACTGCAGTAACCTAAGACTTTACCAGTTACATAAAGTGAAATTTTGTATTTAAATGTTTTTGAGAGGTCAATTTGAACTTGTTTTCTTTTCATTTCTTGTTTTCTTTACAAATAGTATCAGAAAGTTATAATTATTTTGATGGTGTCAGTCAAAATGCTGAAATATATGCTGCTTAAGCCTGCTATAATTGCAAGTGAAAACTATCGCAATAGTATCGCAATAGTAGGGCCACTATCGCAATAGTATCGCAATAGTTGTTTTAACTACCGCAATAGTTTCACAATAGTCAAAAATGCATCAATAGTCACCCCTATTGTTTTCTAGTTACAGGTCACACAAGTGTTTCAGCAAAAAGATTCTGAGTAAAACGTCACTGCACCTCTCCTGTTGGTATAGAAACTGTACCCCAATTAGAATCTATGTAGTAGCTTTCAAGTTATAAGTCACGCAAATGTTTCAGTAAAAATATTTAGTAAAATAATGAAAAAAAGCTGCATCTTTTCAGAAAATCCAAATATTGAAATAAATCTTAACACTGCACTTCTCCTATAGGTATAAAAAGTGTCCACCAAGTTTGAAAAGAATCTATGCAGTAGTTTTCAAGTTGTAGGTCAAACAAAAAAATGTCCTCTGAAGTCTGAAGGACAGACGGATGGACAGCCGGTCTGTGTTACCATACCCCACCCTTTTAGGTTGAGCATATAATAATGATAGGATGTGAGGGATTATTTAATCATGTACTGGCTGGTTTGACAACATGTGGAAGTGAATAAAGAAATATGCCTCCCTACATTCTTTATTTGTTGTTGGTACACAAAAATAACTGCATCATGAAACGATTGCCAAAAAATCCAGATTTACAGTAATAAGAACTAGGACAACCTTTCACAAATGATAAGAATTCCAGTTACCATCAACAAAGACAATACACTCACAAGATAAAAATTTGCCAATTTGCCATGCAACAACTGTTTTCTGTCTTATCTTATTGTAGTTCAGATCAGTTTTAATATTAATGATATTTTTATTCTAGTAATATTGATAAGATCTGATGATTAAGTCAATATCCTAGAAAATGAATACAAATTGCAATGTTATCTGGAGAGAATGCACTGTTAGAAAATGGAACAGAAAGTGTCCCAGGGCAGTCAAGTCTGACATAACTAAAATCATCAATTAGTTGGCCCCTGTGAACACACTACAATAACAGACCTTCCTCACCATGTGACTGTGGAGGGGCACTTACTCACCGATGTAGTAGCATCTTGAGCCTGTTTCTTCCCACTTGCCAACCCAGCTCTCAGCCCAGCCATGAGCAAAGTCCACGAGCAGAATCAGCTGGATAATAATGAAGATGAAGGCTCCAATCATCCCAATCACCATCCATGCTGAAATGGTTATCATGTTTTATGTTAACAAAACAAACACCTTGTACTGACTGCATTTACCTTTAATTGTAGCTTGTCACAATTAGTGTCACTATTCAGGAAATATCAGTGTCACATACTGACCGCACAGTATTATCAGTACACTGGAAAACTGTGACACAAACATTCAACAACATGAACTGCAACATTAATGCAATGAACAAAATGGAGACGATAAGAATAATCACAGAATACAAAAAACAAGATTTCAACCTTGATCATAATAACAAGACTTAATTACAGATGACATTGAACTGTAATTCTTTTTTTCAGGAGCACAAATATGTGAAAATCAGCAAGGTGAACAGCTAAGATTTGGCAGCCAAAATGCCATGGGCTAGACAATGAAATGCAGGTTAAGTTGGTGCATTTTTTACATTTTGTCAGGCTAACAATTAATCGTACATTTATTTAATAGAATTAACCATGTTAATATATATAAACTTTATGGTTTTAAGATTACAAGATGACTCCTAAGTTATCTTTGTTGTGTAAAAGACGAAACTGCCTAATCTGGAATGTCTGTGTTATTTACAATCAACAATAATTATGATGCTTAGCATGCTTTGGGAGTTTTACAGGACGCCTTAATCACACTCACTGCAGTCACAGTTGAGTAGGCTCAACACAGTGATTGGATTAATTAGTGTGACACCCTTCACTGAGTACACAGACCACACCCATCATGCATACAACATACAATAGGCCGTCTCACATACACATTGTATCTGCGACTGATGATAACAAACAAATACATTCAAAGAACCGTGCTAATTATAAAGATGCTAGAACATTGCCTCTCCAAGTAATTTAAAAATGCAAATTCATCATCACGTTATTTTTAACTTTACAACTTCATTATTATCAAGACATTAACATAAACACAAACCTTGGCCAAAGGCTCCTTGTGGAATGAAGAAGGCTCCAACACAAATACCAATGACAATCAGGATCTTAAAGAACCAGAACCTGTCAAACACAAAGTGAAAAAGTCATGATAAATGGTGACCAATGTTAAACATGGTAAAGACAAATTTCCTATCAGAAGAGCATTGAGTTATTTGTTTAAATTAGAGATCTCACTGTTTGATCATACTGATGGGACAGCGGACATCAAGCTCATGAAGATCTTTCAAACAAAAATGCAATACAATCTATCAAATCTAATAGCTTTAGTAATGCAATTTCAGGTCATCAGGAAGTAACTAGTTGATAGTTAATGAGGTTTATCATACTCAGACTTTTGTCAGAAGTATCACAGCAGTATCCAATGTCAGCATGTAACACAATTCCCCCACCATCGAAGAGAGTAACAGATTCGGTACAAGCCCCAAACAATAAAAAAGAAATGTAAAGATTGCTTATCTCATAAACCTTGATCCTAAAACTATTTTGGGGCAAGTCATTACAAAATTAGTTCATGCTCTTCCCTTGTGGAATTAAGCCTAACATGGGAAAATCGGTTACTGATAGAGAGTGTGAGTCAATCATATGATATTTAAGACATGACTTTCACTTGAGCCACATTGGAGTATGAACCTTCATAGTGAGTGGGCCAGACTGCATGAACATCCAAGCTTACAACAAAGTGAATGTCAACTCATATAATTCTGATATCCCTATTTTGTACAACAAAGGATGTTGACACAATTTCATTTCATATGTGTGACTTCATGTTAACACTGACAGCCATAAAACAAACTGTATAAAGGAACAAATAGTTCCTCAAAACAAGTTAACATGAACGCATGTACATGTTGCATGCTCAAATTTCTCTAACGAAACATCTTTTGTGGTTTGGGTAACAACAAATAGATCTAACTAATATCATTATTAGATGAGAAATGTCTGCTAAGTACTATCACAGTAAGCCAGTGACAGTGACAATGCGTCATAATAGATCTATTTATAGAACTGGACTTCAAAATGTCCGACATGATCAATGTGGTGGGAGAGATTTTCGAAGATGTCATTGAACGTGTGGTGATTATATGGATGTGTGAAATAGATACTGAAGTAATTTAGATTGCTGTAGAATGTTGTTGAATGTCAGTCTATACACAGATAGTGTCAATGTATTGTGTGTGCATTTCTTCATTTTGTTCATTTACAAGGATTTGGCGTATAGAGGATATTAGATCACAAACATATTAAGACTTTTTCCATGTTGTATGCAAAAATGATGACTTTAAGTGTCTCGATCCAAAACAATATTTCTGTATTTTATTTGCGCTAGGCAATTCTAAGGGATTTCCTCAGGAGTGTGAACTTGTCTGTCAGTGTTACAGTCTCGCGAAAAATTATGAACATCAAAATGTGTCATTCATGACATGAACATCAAGTTCGCGGATATGTAATTGTTTTCTAACCCAATGGAAAAGTTATATATATTGTGTTAACTTCAATTAAAAAAATCACATGACATTACACACATTCAAGTAGTCAGCATGGTCAGGTACCCACAGTGACTATATCCTTCCATGTGGTCATTCATCAAGAACTACCCTCACCACACTCACCTAAGGAACCATTGTTTACACACAATAACTATTAAAGTAATGTCCTACAACAAGCATGATATTTGACAATGTACTAAGCATATATCTGCCAAGAATTCCATAAGTACCCAAAGGTACACTCCTTGAGCCAAGGTAAGCCTATAGGTTCAATGGTTAATAAAACCTAACAAAAACAACTTACCCATTCTGTAAGCCAGATCTCGGGTCCTTCGAGGAGTTGACCTTTATCATTATCAGCATAAAGAGGAAGAAGAAGGCTGCCATTGCGAAGCACACTCTGTAGACAGCCAGATACCCTACAACTTCATCGCACACTTTTTTGGGGGTGAGTTGATACCCCCCTGTGGGGTTACACAACATTGGTATCTGTATAACAAAAAGAAAGGCATGACTATTGATATTACCTAGGTGATAGAGTTTTCATAGAAAAAAAGACTGAAATTTACCAAAAATAGAAGTCCTTCATGTACATCGCCAACAAACCTTGCCCACTTCAGCATGTACATCACCCACAAACTTTGCCCACTTCAGCATGTACATCACCCACAAACCTTCCCCACTTCAGCATGTACATCCCCCACATACTTTGCCCACTTCAGCATGTACATCCCCCACAAACCTTCCCCACTTCAGCATGTACATCACCAACATACTTTGCCCACTTCAGCATGTATATCACTCTCAAACTTTGCCCACTTCAGCATGTACATCACCAACATACTTTGCCCACTTCAGCATGTACATCACCCACAAACCTTCCCCACTTCAGCATGTACATCACCCACATACTTTGCCCACTTCAGCATGTATATCACTCGATAACCTCCCCCACTTCAGCTTGTATATCACTCACAAACTTTGCCCACTTCAGCATGTACATCACCCACATACTTTGCCCACTTCAGCTTGTATATCACTCACAAACTTTGCCCACTTCAGCATGTACATCCCCCACAAACTTTGCCCACTTCAGCATGTACATCCCCAACAAACTTTGCCCACTTCAGCATGTACATCCCCAACAAACTTTGCCCACTTCAGCATGTACATCCCCCACAAACTTTGCCCACTTCAACATATACATCCCCCACAAACTTTGCCCACTTCAGCATGTACATCCCCCACAAACTTTGCCCACTTAAGCAGTACTTAGAAATTCACCACTTGGCGAAACCCTGGAGTGTTCCTTTCAGTCTCACTCCAGTCAACCACCACATGCAAATTCTGACTTTGCACACCACAGTTTCCAACAACTGACAAGAATCCTGGCTTTTACATCCAGGCAAATATCACATGGTCCAGTGACATTGAAAACATGGAGTGGCAAATATATCGTGGATCGATGCTCATGATGTCAGTCACTGGATTGTCTGGTCCAGACTCGATTATTTACAGACCGCCGTCATATAGCTGGAATATTGCTGAGTGCGGCGTTAAACAACAAACAAACAAACAAACATTATCATGATAATAGCAATCTCCCCTCTTTTATATTTTACATAATATATAAACACTGTTAAACAATATGTAAAACTGTACCACATATAAAACATATTTACAAACAATTAAGGAATGGTACTGACAAACCTAGACACACAATCAGGGTGAATCTGTCATTCAAACCCATGATCATAGGTTTCTGTAATGTGTAAGGGGACACAACTCTGCACCTAGCGGCACCTTACTTAGACAATGGGGTTTTCTAAACGATCTTAGCTAAGATAAATCTTTACATTCAAAGATAAGATATCGTAAGTTTAAGATAAGATAGATTTTCGAAACTATCGTAAACCTGTCACAGATCATACATAGCTACGATGACTATCGTAACTCTGACAGAGAACTCATATGTGTTGGAGACAGAAAAGCATTGGGAAGGCAGGATATTTTATATATGTTTTCCTTCACTCATCTTTAGGGAATTTAAAGAAAGTTTGTTGAAAGAGCTGCCTAACACAGTGATTGTGTCATGTATGCACACTGACACACTTGACTACCAAGCATGTCGGCCAACTCTGACTGAAAACACCCCTTGGATAAAAATCTTAGTGTCACAAGCACTTGGATCTCGGGTGTGAGGAGACAGGAACGATCAGTGTGTCGATTGATGTAGGGATTGAAGGTTGAATCAAATAAAAAATCGCCTGGCAATGCACGCTATAGCAGGGATAAACCTCCAAGTTGTCAAGCATCTTGGAATATCCTTAATCTTGTCATCAATTTATCATCATCTTCATCATGAGAAATGTCCATGGCAAAGTATGCTGCCATCTTGGATGAAGATAAATACACTTACGACAGGTATGGGCTATCTCAGATTTATGCCAATCCCACAATATCTGAGGGCTACGATAGTTTGAAAATAGGCAACGATAGCCTATGATTTCCTTACAAGAACTCTATGATAACTTTAGGGTTCAGATCGTTTTTAAAATCTAGGCCTTGGGCCACTCTTGCTCGATCATAATGCATTGATTGATCGTCCTACTCATAATCAATTATATACCTCAAAATACCATATTTTTATATTAACATGCTAAATGAGGATTGAATGCAAACCTTGTCCAGTTGTTCTCGAATACCCGGTGTCAACATAACGGCTGCTACCACAGTCCCAAGGAGCAGCAAAAAGGCATAGGCAATTCGAGTAACCGTCGAATTCTTGGTGGAAGGACAGCAAGCACAGCACAGACTGCATGCTGCGCTACCAAAACAGCACGCAAGCTGAAACAATCCCCGATGAAGATAAGTACAACATATCTGTGTAAATATTTATCATTTTGGCATGATACGAGACATTGAGATTATTTCTCTTGAAAATACTTAGTTATTTAAAATAAGTTTAAAGATGATCAATGATTATAAGCAACCAAGGAGGATGTGCATATGACACTCAACAATCTACAACTTTACTGTCTTTCTAAAATGTGGGCCCACCTGCAGCCATCTCTATTGAAAAAAATAAAGTAGAACAACATTTGGGGACATCTACTATTCATGAGCATGAGTTTTTAATTTCACTGACGAGAACCATTTTTAATTTGCTGGAAGGAAAGATGAAAAAAATAACATATTCATGATATATTAGACATTTGATTATGAATACTGTTACCATGTTTAACTAAGGGTTCAGCATGTTTAGATGGCAAAATATATTTTGACCAACGTCATTTTTTGCAAATATGAAAACATCAGAGATAGCACCAGATTGTAATAAGAGTGACCTCCCTTTCCCAAATGAACCACTGATAATGCAGTTTCACTGTATCAACAGTTCTATATGTAACCCATCAGTGATATATTGAACAGCTGATAACACAACAAAATGGATGAGGGGATACAGCAACTGAAGCGAACCCTTTTGGGGTACTGTAATGAATATTATTGACCTATTGTTATGATTACACTCCGACAGACTAACATATAGTCCCCGAAAGTTATCTATAAAATGAAATAAAAACAGTTTCATAAGCCTGATACGGGAAATTGTCAAGTATACAGGAACCTTCAAGTCTCAGTATTTCAGGTTGAGAATTGGTTGAGTATACATGGTATAAGCTGCTAAAAAGACAAGAATCTGATGAGAATTATCACAGCCTGGATTTGTACAATAAAATAGGGGTGGTCGGGTAGCCTAGTGGTTAAAGCGTTCGCTCGTCACGCCAAAGACCCGGGTTCGATTCCCGACGTGGGTACAATGTGTGAAGCCCATTTCTGGTGTCCCCCGCCATGATATTGCTGGAATATTGCTAAAAGCGGTGTAAAACCATACTCACTGTACGATAAAATAGTTACACTGGTATGTGATAAAACTGCCAAAATATATCTAATGATGAAATTCCTTCAAATATTTTGACAACATTAACTGTCTATAGACATAATAATGCAGACTGGTATTGTCAAGTAAATGCGTACCAGCAATGGTGGTTGCAATGACACGGAACAGTATACTACACTTCCGCATATTATTAATCGTAATAACCGTCATTTTCAAATATAAAACATCACGAACGGTGTCCAGTGAAACTAGCATCGGTACGATATAAGCGATACACAACACCATTTTGACAAATGTGAATGTAGAGTCATTGTTTTCCTTGTCGAGAACATGACGTTATGACATTGTTTATGTTTTTAATTCAGTTCTTTGTGACTACAATCTTAGCAATCTGATCCAAAATGTCTAAGTACTTACGCTGCCAATAATACAACCCATCTTCAGTCAGTTGCCTCTATAGCAAATCTGCCAAACGACAAAAGAAACAACAAATTTCAACGTGAATCTGACTCAATAGTTATATTGCGAACCAGTGTTTACTTGCGAAATAAAATGGCCGATGGACTATGACGTCATCGTCATGTGATGATCACTTCCTGTTAGTCAAGTGCCCACGCGGTAAGTTTGAAATTAGAATTAACTATTTGCAACACTGAAAGACGTTGTATGGAACCTAAAACCAATCAAATTTTATAGCAAAGAATATGGCTGGAAGTATTTTAATCTTGATATTGTTTTCATCTAACACGACACGACCGGTGAAACTCCCGGTAAGACTAGGTGTTGAGCAACCCCCGTTTGTCGTAAGGGGCTACTGCATGCTTGTTGTAAGAGGCAAGTCATGAGATCGGGGGGCCTGGCTCGCTGACTTGGTTGATGCATGTCATAGTATCCTAACTGCGTGGATCGAGGCTCATGATATCAATCACTGGACTGTCTGGTCCAGACTCAATTATTTACAAACCGCCGTCATATAGCTGGAATATTGCTGAGTGCGGAATTTAACAACAAACACAAATTACAAACCTAACAAGACACATATGTGTAATTGCCTACATATTCTCCACTAATTTATCATTATCATTAAATGGAATATATTACTAGATCTACATGTAGAAAACATAGAGTTCCATCTATCTTTCAATCAAATAGATTATGTTTGCTTGTTGAGAAAAGTCTTAATTGATCGTAAATATAGATCGATGCAGGAGCACGTGTTTGTTAACACAAAATAAATAAATTGCAAGTGATACCATGGTATTTCCCATACCGAGCATTTTTCCTTGTGATTATGTTTTCATTATTAAATCCGAAAAATAATGACGCCACGCCCACCAGTCAACTAGTATTTCCTGATTGGTTGATAATAGAGTGGGCTGGGCTTGTATTGTATTATTGCGCTAATGGCTGTCACTGGTTTCGTATCGTTGTCGATAGTTTTTGTATGCTAATGATCGCATAAGCAGTATGTGAAGTTGTTATTGTTGACGCGGATTTACACAGAATGTAACCCGGGTTTACGTTTAGACACTCTTAAACCGCCTCCGTGGTCTAGAGGTAGAGCGTCCGCCCGGAGCGCGGAAGGTTCGGTGTTCGATCCCCGGCAGCGTCATACCAAAAGACGTTAAAAGATGGTACTTGTTGTTACCCTGTCTGGCGCTCGGCATTAAAGAGGTAAAACACGGACTGGTCGGCTCGGAGTCAGTATACTGTGTCTGAGTGGTGTATTCATGTTAAACTGCGGCATGGTATCTCAGTGGGCTAGCACTATAAATCGGCATCAGGTGCATGCAGGTCGCTATATAAGTGCAATAGGTGCAATAACGCGACGTTATAGCCAATTTCACCTCACCTCACCTCACCTCACCTCACCTCACCTCACCTCACCTCACCTCACCTTAGACACCCTTAAACGCCAAACTTCTTGATGTCAAATCTAAATTGCAATGCAATTCCGCACTTTTCGATAATTAATGGTATCTGAGTTTTGAGAAAAAGATTTGTCTGATACGATACTCGTTTTGAGGTGAGAAAGAATTTGTAATCAAAGACAAATATTTAATATATATTTCTGTTTTCGTATGATCATGTTGTATTCACTAGTGAAATAATTGTCGTATTTTTGTGGTGTGTGATATCGATTTTGTCAGGAAAATATGATTGAATGAGTATGGTTTTACGCCGATTTTAGCAACATTCCAGCAATATATCAGGAACACCAGAAATAGGCTTCACACATTGTACCTGGAAAATAATTGACTTTGAAGATTTATTCTTTGCAGTGCCGCGAGACTAAAGGCATTTCAGTGGTTGTTAAGCGAGTTTAAATTCTCTGAGTTCTTGATGAAGTTGTACGAGAAAATTGTTCACATAACTGTGAGATTTGATTAAAGGTAAACATGTCAGTTTGAAAGTGGATTCATTCAGTTTGAAAGTGGATTTATTCAGTTTGAAAGTGGATTTATGCAGTCGTTTATCAGTGTTTTCTAAACAAAATATATTGCCATATATACTCTATGATATTCTAGGAACCACAAGTCGGTATTGGGTATTCTTTGTTGAAAGCATTTGGAATTGCCTACCGACCAAAGTTACCAACATATTTATTCTGATATATTTGTAAATGGAAAAATCAGATTATGTATCTCAATGACGTGCTTCGTGTGAAATCTACATCTTCGAAATTCACGCTGGCCCGCTTGCCCGACACCACTAAATTTTGCAGAGGATAAGTAAATACCCAATGGTGGTAGTCCTCATTGACTATTAGCATTTATTGGCTATTATTCTCAATATTAGTTCTCAATACTTAACCTTTTTGTACAAATTTGAACTGAATAATAGAAAATGTAAACAAGCAAACATAGGTAACATTTTTGTCTCTTTAAAGCAGGACTAGCTACTAATCCTGAGGACTAGTGAACTTTTTCACAAATGCTGTGGTTGTTTTTTTCTCATCGCCATGGAATTCCAAAATAGTTTCCTGCAGCGCGCATGGGCGTCTCAAGCACGACCATCTCGGGCTGTTTTTATTCAACATGCATGTAAATCTTTACACACACATAAAATATGCACACATACTGGAGTCCCTTTCCCTCGCGAGAAAGGAAATGAGGAAAATAAATAAAACATTATCATTTTCATTTTCCGACCATCTTGAAAATGAAATATCATGTTGTCGGTATGTAGAGTAGAGGCGCAGAACACGCCAAGTGTATATCATTATGTGACTACACCCACTTCAGGAATTGCACTTCCGTGATGACATGTACACCACGTGCTGAGATCACGTCATGGCTGTTAATGCTCCTTGAAGATCCCGGTTAAAATAGCTCTTAAGCGACCATGCCTGTCGTAAGAGGCGACTTACGTGATCGGGTGGTCAGGCTCGCTGACTTGGTTGATGCATGTCATGGTAGCCCAATTGCGTGGATCGATGCTCATGATGTCAATCACTGGATTTTCTGGTCCAGACTCGATTATTTACTGACCGCTGTCATATAGCTGGAATATTGCTGAGTGCGACGTTAAACAACAAACCAACCAACATGGCTACATCCTCGTGTGTCATGGGCGGTGGGGAAGTCTCGTGGCTAAAGCGGTTTTTTTAACAGTAAACATACCGTACACGGTGAAAATAACTGAATCCCATAACTGAATGTACCGTTTGTTACAACGATAAATTGCCATGTATAACTTACACCAGCCGTTTTCCAAAATTATACAATGCTTTGTCAAATATGCTTTACTCCCACCAATATATTATTTCAAGTGGCGAGGTAACTCCAGCATCATTACATATGTAATGCTTTGATTATATGATTTGATTCAAATTATATTTGATTATATATATATATATATATATATATATATATATATATATATATATAATCTTCACACCTGAAATGCCGTTGAACAGCGAAAGATCTTGTGTGGATAAAGGAGTTTTGGCAAGCACGAATAACTGGACTCTATTCTATTTACGTTATTACTCGACTATTGCAGTATGAATGGTAAAGGTAAATCATTTTGATAATGACCTATATATATTCTATTTACGTTATTACTCGACTATGCCAGTATGAATGTATAACACATTAAATTAAATTAACTCTCAAGCATACGGCGTGAGTCACGAGATATTCAATCAAATATTAAGCTCTCAAGTCAAGATTAAATAACCTCTCGCGAAATCTAAACTTTAATGCTGAAAACAAATTTGAAAGAAAATAATCGTAACTAGCAGTGATGCATTTGAGCATTTGAGCCATGAGCCCTTAAATACACAATTAAAATACACTTGAATGAGGTATGACACTAGAACCACACCCATCCACCCCCACACCCTAAACTTGGATTGAAAGCCCTGCTAAGCTTGTTCAGTTACGTGAATTAAAACTCAGTGTGCCCGTTTGAATATTTCTCCCCCTTTATGTGATACTCTTTCTTCTAAAAATGAATTTGGCAAAAAGATCCGAGGACATCCCATTACGGGTCACGTTAGAACGACCTTTCATCCGGCCAATCAAGGCGTCGCTTACCAGATCATGAAAGTGACAGTAGGAATGTGTTTTCTAATCATGCAACCTCGAAAACGTTAACACGGGGTATCCCGAACGATAGTTACGGCCCGTACGACTGACTCCGTCAAAATCATGATTCATCGTCTATCTCCAGCTTCCATGGGATAAACATTTGAACGGAAGTGGCGTTGCACGGTACGTGGGATATTTTTCAAACGTAGACTGAAATGGAAGTCGCCAGGTTGAAACGAGTGCCGAAAAAGCTCGAGAAAGCTGCTTTCTATTTGGCTGATGTCGACTTCATTTCAGTGGTCGGTTTAAGTTCGCGAAAGGTGGTTCTGACATTCATGACCCGTAATGGGATGTCCTCAGATCTTTGTTTAGCGGCAGCGAGATCTTAGATCTGATTTTAATGAGATTGGCATAAAACAAAATATTTGCAACAGACTACCTGGTAGTACGTAGTAGTTTTGTTTATGGTCAAAGGGAAGTAATCGCGTTTGTACAAAAAATTAACTGCAAGCACCTCACAGCGATATCCCGTTCGCTGAGCTCAAACTCTTTCAAACGGCGCGTGACATCTTCGTTTCTATTTCGACATCATCGCTGTCATAAAGCTCGTTCAGTTAGCTACGTGAATTCAGTTTCTTCTAAAAATGGATTTGACGTCGAAAAAAAACGTCACTAAAAACCACCTGATTGTCGGTAGTGGTTTTGTTTATGGTTAAAGGGAGGTAATCGTGTGATACAAGAGTAAACTCCCTTGCCTCAACTCAGCACAAGCTCCTTCCCAGCGCGTGACATCTTCGTTACACTCTCGGTAACAGAGTATAGAGAGCTCCGCGAACGGGCTATCACTGTGAGGAGCCTTGGCGTGGGCCCTCAATCAAAGGGAGCTCACCGCGTACAACAAATCATGAGTTATGCCCCTTGTCTCAAAGGGAGGTAAATCTGTTTAGCAAATGGTAAACAGGATTTACAGTTACTTCCCTTTGACCATCAACGGCGCGACTCCTCAAATCCAATGCGTCTTAGCGATGTAGTATGTAGGTAAC